CCATCCATCCATCCATCCATCCATCCATCTATCTGTCCGTCCATCCATCCATCCATCCATCCATCCATCATTTATCTGTCTATCCATCCATCCATCCATCCATCATCCATCCATTTCTCTGTCTATCCATCCATCCATCCATCCATCCATCCATGCATCATCCATCCATGCATCCATCCATTCATCCATCCATGCATCCATCCATTCATCCATCCATGCATCCATGCATCCATCCATTTATCTGTCCGTCCATCCATCCATCCATCCATCCATCCATCCTTCCATTTATCCGTCCGTCCACCCATCCATCCTTCCATTTAGCCATCCATCCATCCATCCATCCATTTATCCATCCATCCGTCCATCCATCCATCATCCATTTCTCCATCGGTCACTATGCACATATCAAATTCACTTCCTACAAAAGTAAACGATTATATCTGTGAAAATTTTGTTTCAAAAGGCCTAAAAGCCAAAGACACATACTGAGATCAATTATTGTCAGTTCTCACATCTTTTAAGTCATTTTAAGGCTCATTAGAGTAAATGCCTTCTTTAATCTCCCCCTTCAAGCTCTGACTACGTTTGGCCAGGAACTACCGTCGAGTCCTCACAGCTGCACAGAGGGAAGCTGTTATCCCGCAACAGGAAACCTTCTTATTGGACGAGGCACCAACCTAACCGCCTCCTCCACATGTGGCCTGCATGGACCGGAGCAGTATTGTATTGTCAGCCATTTACAGGTGAGCTGAAAGCCTATAACCACTGAGAAACAGGGTTCATTCTTGTTACTGAAAGAAAAGCGTGCCGTTTTCATGGGAACAAGAGGTAATTGCTGTTGATTGCACTTCATGTGCATTTTTTGTGACATTATGCAATGGATTGATATGATTAACTTCACTGCTGGCATCACTGAAATGAACAGTGGTGAAACTGCATCTGGGCTTGACTCTCACTTGATCATTTTCACATAATGGTTCCTGTCAGAAGTGATTGAAACTAGCATTCAGAAATAAGGATTGAATGTTGATGCACCATTGTTGGTCACTCTCTAAACTTTTTCTGTCATTGTTCTGTTTGTTTTTCTTATTGTTACAACTCAGCATGACCAAGGTAAAGGGCAAGGAACATTAAATTGCACTGTTCTATACAAACTAAATGAACATAATTCACTGTAAATTGCTCCTCCAGCTGTTTTTTGTTCATTAATAACACTTAACCTGGGATGGACTTGTGACCTGTCCAGGGTGTACCCCGCCCCTTGCACTGTGGCATATGGGCAACAGTGACCCCTGTGACCCTGAAAGGAAGAAGCAGGTATAGATAATGGATGGATAAAACATTTAGCTTTAAAGGCTAATGTTGCATCTGTTGCTGGGTAGGCTTCAGGTGACGTAAAAATGATCATATTTTGCCTCAGACGGTACATTTTCTCAGTTTAAACATTTGATATGTAAATAAATGCAAATTAAAAATGGGTTTATTAGGTTTGAAATTATTAGCATTTCACTTAAAGTTTTTCAGAATTGGGGTTGTGAATGAAACTAAAATGCTTGGACAAAAACATGAATGTGAGCTTTTAGATATTTAAAATAAAAAGAAGACGTGCAGCCAATTATTAACTTTTAGGTTTAAGTTTTCTCCTCTTCTTTGTGAAGTGAGACTGTTGTGTTTTAGTCTGTAGCTCGTTTTTCTTCTCAGTATTTTGCTCTTTTGGCCATGTTCACCATCATGTTTACATTCAGGCTCTGCGTGTTCGTGCCTGCACTTCCATTGCCTCAGGGCAGAAATATTCACTACCGCCAACTTCCAGGTGAGCATAATTGACATTGTGTGGTGAGAGGCCTCCTGCTACAGTACRGGGCAGGACATGGTGACAGCCTGGTATGTTTTAAATTTACTTTAGAGGCCCACACAGTTTCTAAATGTTCACACGTTCATCTGTCATTTGTTTGACAGAAAGGTGGGGTTTGATGTCTTAACTACATCAAATACACATTTTGTGTTTTCTTTAGAAATTGTCAGAATCTGCACTCTTTTGGGTTGTTGCTCAGGTGGCCTTTTGTGTTTTTGGTTTCAGTTCTCTTGTTTGTTCTTTATGAACTTTACTTCCTTTAGTTCACTCTCCCAGTATTTTCTGGTTCKGCTCTGTTCTGCCCCGCCCRCTTACACCTGTTCTTTGTCCATCATGAGTCAGCGCTGCCATAGCGGCTGCAGCCACGCTCTCATTAGCCCCTGTCTCTGTATTTTGTCACTTTTCATTCCACCTTCAGTCAAACATACCGTATTTATTCAAGTATAATATGTAAAATTAAATCATCCATAAAGTTGGGGGG